ACCGGAATAGGTGGTTCCGGTATAAGATTATGACAAGTTGAGTCACAAGGATATGAGCAATCAATAAGTTTAGTTACCCTTCTGCTGTAGTACCAATCACCAACTGCTTCTGCAATGGTCTGTAACAGAGCAGTGTGAATTGATAAAAGAAAAAAAGGAAATTATTTATAAAGTCCAGAACTGCTAAAGAACAAGCAATGTTCAATGCAAAAAAACTGTTTTGGATTTAATTTTTTAAAATTTATGTGTATAAACAAAACAAGTTGATAAATGGAATTAGGTTTTGAAAAATCATAGTGAAACGTAGCATTTAGCTTGAAACTAACTTTTCCAGATCTTGTTTCTGTTTTCGAATTCATGCCATGTTTTCACTGTCATTTTCCAGACCCTATTTCGTTTCGATATATTTTTGTATAACTTCGTAAGATTAAATTCAGAAGAAGTTGTTTTAGGACTAAATATGACCAAAGACTTTCATATCTCTTTTAATAATTAAACTGGATTTTTGGGCAGTTTCATCTAAATTTTATGTGAATAAAAGTGGATTGTGATAATAATAGTCAATTATTTTGCATAAAGTGCAAATAGATCACTATAGTCAATTCAAGAGACTAGTCAAAACATTGGTTTTGGAGGCAGATTCAGGAGCAGCATGGTACCTTATTATTTACTCTCGGGGAGTCATCAGCTAACCATGTGTCTTGTTCTGTACTTTGGCAATGAGCAAAGCAGGAGTTTATAAACATCCCATCTCTTCTTGACGATTTGAAAAATGATCTCAAAGATAAAAGCATGTCATCCCTGAAACCTGAGGAGAGACATTTGATTCGTTCCTATCAATTAGATATGAAAATAATCTTATACGTTTAGAACCAAAAACATATTAAGCAGCAGCTACGTAGAGAACTGAAGGATATTTACCTTGCAATGCATTGATCTGGCTTGCATTACATGCTTCTGGATCAAACTTGCAGTGCCTCCAGTATCCATGCGGATCAGCTGAAGGGGGCACAAGTGCATGATGGAACTGTTTAACATTTGAATATACAGATATTATAAATTTTCAGAAGTACTTTTTTTTTTTTTAAATAAACAGAAGTGCTTCACTTAGTAAGTATTGTCTTCACTGATGAAGAGTATTTACACAAGCCAGAGAGCCCAGCTTGAGATTCAACTCTGTGTGCTGAGTATAGTTTGTTATTATTGTAACTACTTTCCTTATCGCATGTACATAATCTACCAGATACCAGCTAGATCTATAAAGTTTATGATAAGGAGTTTAAGATAAATGAAAGTATAGGAAGGTTTACTTGGAAGACATCATAAGCTGAATTCAGGACAAAAAATGGTACTGTAATATGTCTCAAGATGTACTGTGGGAAGAAGCACTGCAAAAGGAAACACATGTACTGTCAGCCCTATGAAGAACAGACAAGCGAATCTAATGCAACTGATTGATGAAGAAACATCAAGGAGCAGTGTGAAATGATACCATAGTTGGATCTTCAAGAGCACTGGTACAATTTGGATTTAGATTTTTCTCTACCCCCTGTCAAATTGACCTTATAGCATGTGAAATAATGTTTACAGATTAAAACCCACAATAGAGAAGAACTTGCTATAGAAAATTCTGTCAACTGCGTAGAAGACGTTCAGAACAATGCAACAAATATATGGTCAAAACTAGATTATGTTTCACTAGTTCTTTTTCCATTGAAGTTTGCAGGAATGAAACTAAGGTTCTTCTAAATAGATACAAGTTTCTTTGAGAATGTTTAAAGAACAAAAAAAAAAAAACATATACAGAAACACGCTGATGCATATAAATAATCATTACAGATAGCAAGTGACTGAAGAAGGCTAAATAAAGAATGTTAAGTATGAAAAAAATAACAAAAAAAAAAGAATAAAGGTATTCGAGTTGAAGACTACCTGTAGAGTGACAACTTTTTCAAAGAAGGACATCATAGTTAAGTTCAAGCTTATGTCTCTCCTGTAAAATGAAAACATCAACAAAAAAATTCATAAAGTCCAAAGAACAAAATCAATGGTTGAGCAACTCTTCTTATAACCACTGATATGTCAGTATGTGCAATTAACCTTTAGATGTGAAGGCAGATGTAGTTATCCCCAAAAGAACACTTACGTATTTAGAAAAAATCCAGCATCACTTGAGCATTTGACGCTTGCATTCTTGGGTAAAAAACTGGCGAAACTTTCACAATGCAAAAAGGTCGCCAAACCCCCAGCAGAACAACCTGACAGCAAAGCCTATGGTCCATAGAACAAAATGGTTGTATTTATCAAGTTCTCACCAAAGATGAAATCTACCAAAATGTAAAATGTATTTTATTGTGGTTGTTTATTTTTGTACTTCTCAGTATAATTCCAATCATCATTATGCAAGTTATGGATCCACAATTTATGAAAATAGAATTCATAAAAATGTTAAACCATGCATCCTGTAGACCCAGAGCACTTGGAGATATGATCTTACCTTGCGTGCCCTTGCTAAGCCTTTGGGCAGAAGATCATGAACGATAGCTTCCCAAATCTTTTGCCCTCTGAAATAAAGTAATGATGTCTGTTGTTCATTTTAATCACATATACAGAAACGAAATCAGACAGTTAGACGTATAAAATATATATAATAATTTGCCCTAACACAGAATAACTAATATGTTATGCAAATAGATGATCTACTGATCACTCTCACTACTCTCCCTAGCAAACTGGGATTTCCTATGCCAACAATCTGAAGCTCTGATGGAATCTCTTTGAAATGCCCAGGAGGTATAAATATCATTGATTTAGGATTGTAAAAGATTTCTGAGCAAACAGCAAGAAAATCCTAACAAGCTAATGAAGTGGCCTTCGTCAGCTTTTACTTATTGGGCACTTAAAAAACAGTAATCAAGTAGGCAAAGCATTGATAACCAGAAGGAAAGTTTTAGAAAGAGTCACCCCATTGTCAAACTTGCTATCTCCAGCAAATGAAGCTCCATCACAATAACTAAGTCTCACACGGTTCCAGTTGTAAAAATCTGATTCACAGGTCAGCATTTAATTACAACTCCAATGAATAAACCGAAGAAATATCAAATTATGATAGAAATAGACAAATCATAAATTCAACATATAATAATTACTATTTGAAATATTTCTAGTTATTTAACTACTGAAGCCACTGCAAAGAGATTCAGCGTCAAAATCTTAATTTCTTTGTTTTATACTTACTAGACTATGATTAGCTCAAATCCAAAATTTGTGTGAAATTCATTTATGATATACACTTATTTCAAATAGAAGATATAGAAAGTACCACCTAAAATGATAAACTGAGCTCATACTAAATTTAATATGGAATAAATAAATAATTTTAAATTCCATAAATAGGATGGAATTTAAAATTTATTGTTCTTACTTCGCGTAAAATTCCATATGAATAATTTACTAACAAATTTTGCATTTTTTGTATGCTATGTTTGGAACAAATCTAAATCTTTTGGATTTCATTTGTAAATCCACTCTCAATTTAAATAGAAGATTATGATACTACTTCTAAAAATAGTAAAAAGTGACAAAATATGAAATTTGGAATAGATCAATATATTTCAGTTTTTTTTAACCAAATTGATGCAATGTGGAATGCATTGCTCTAATTCCATATGAAATTTAACATGTGGTCAATTTTTTATTACCATTCTAATGTAATTTATACCATTTACTCATTAAACTAAGTTTGAATTTGCAAATGAATACCACAATACTTCTTCATTTTACCGAACATACTCTTAATTAACATAATTAAGATTTTGTAAATCGGTTTCACCATAAGTTCTGAGTTTGTTCCAAAATAGCCTGGCATGTTTAGATTAACCCTCTAAGCAGTATAGCATCATACTTAACCATATGAAAAACCCACTAACGAAATTGTTAGAATTTAATATATAGTAAATTAGCATAGTCAGATTCTTAATAGAACCAAGATTAGTTGAATGTCAAATTTATGGAGTATTTGAGTAAATGCTTATTTTCATGTTATCTTATTTTTATGGTCCATTTAAACCTGTTGTACATTACTGTTTGTTATGGACTTTTTATATTAGGCTTTCACATAATAAGTCTGTCAATTTAAGTATGTAAATCACAAGAAGTCGCTACTTTCACTCTATATATATGTTATGGTTGCTGTAATAATACCATTCTAGATCTTGAAAACCTAATTGTTTTACATAGAGAACAGAGTAGTAATATCTCCTACATATGCCTATTAATTCCGCTATTAATCTATTAGAAAATTGTGGATTCTTGTCAGGTGTTTATTAAATTTGTTATCAGTTTTCATTTATGCATATGAATACTATATAATTGGAATTAATTATCGAGATACACTGAAATTATTTTGTTATTAAAATTCCTGCAAATTTTTTATTAATAACAGTGTAAAAGATAATCTTTTAACCCTCATTTCCCACTAATACCAACTTTATGCATCTTAATAGGCAGGAGACAGCCATAACCCAATGGAAGTCGGTTCATCTGGTGGACATGGGTCACGGGGTACAATTGTGCAATATTCATCTAGGAACAAGACAAACACACGTCACATTTTTTAAACTCGTGGATTATTTATATTAGATGAGCTGATGGAACAATATAAAATATTGCCTACGATCTTGGTGTTAACGTAATCAAAGTTACAGCTCTATCTTGTAAACCTGACTGAAGTTACGTTCTATATATCTCTATGGGCTTTGCTAACCAACCTTGCAAGAACTTATAAATTATTTCAATCGTCTAGTAACAACTAATTTAGAATAGTATCAGCATTTCTTTGGGAAGAAGCCTAACGACTTCAATTTTACAAATTGTTAATCGAATTATGTACTGTCCCCTTCCCTGCCTGTCTAAAAAGTACCCCATACTTGGGCCTAGAAAAAACAGAAAAACACACAAAGACACTCAAAAGAACTTCAATTATAGATATAGCCTTGATAAATTAGTTCATCTTAAGATCTCGCGCCTCAGAAATTACAGCAAATTCCACTACTACAAGCTCATAAGAAAAGCTGTCTTGTAAACAATAAAAATCCAATGTATAAGGTTGCGGTCAACAAAGAATGTTTAAAAAATTTTGACATGTTACCCGGCTAAGCAAAGGCATCATACACCATGTGCATGCATTTTGTTAAAACCTTCCTAGACTACTTGAAGAAATGGTGAACTACCAGATTCTTTTCTTTCCAATTTTAAATAATTGTTTGATAACGAAAAAATACTAATTTCACCTACTCAACAACCCTTTTTGATATTGTATTGTTTGAGAAGAAATCAATTAGCATATAACAAAGCTAATTCTACCTCGACCTCTTATATTTTCTGGTCTGCCAACTACAGACTTCAACATCTATACCAACCTTGGAGAAATCTACACTTTCCTGTTAATAGAACTGGTATTGATCTGAACCTTCACACTGAAAATATTACTGAAGAAAAGGATTCCTTACGTCTTTTAAAGTGCTTAATAGAGGACAACAATGGCTGACAAAAAGCAAGGGCTGGCATTAAAAAAGTCTGTAAAGCTTCAGAAGTCAAAATAATTAACCAGAAAGTAATAGCTGTCAGCTTAGCCATCAACCATTAATCACGAGAGATGGACAAGATTGGAGAATTCATGTGAACAACAGGGAGTTGTGTGAACGTGTCAAGATTGAATTTCCCGAACTACCCTTTTTGTCAAACAACCATAATGCAGAATGCTAGATCTCTCAAAACATCAACCCTTAATTAAAGACAGGAACTTATCAATTGCTGCTGACAATAGACAGCAACAAAAGATTTTGTAAACATATGAGACAGCATTGGTTGCTGTAGAGTATTAGATGGTAGAAAATAAGAAACCACCACTTCCTCAACATGTTAATTATTCGGCCTTTATTAATAAAAAAGTACGACTATTTGTAATCAAAGTTATGATAATTTTTTAGCTCCAGTGAACTTCAGCCGCTTTATTTAGGAACAGTAAACCATCATCGACCATTGGCATTGAGTGGATCAAGGGATGTAGTAAAACATTAAGTACTCAAAACCAAGACATGATTACGGTTTATGAAGTTTCACAAGTTCAATAGCATGTAAAATAGAACTTAAGTTCATTTGGTGAGAGATGGTTTTGGAATGTTCCCAAAAAAACAAGGTGAGTCAAAGTTGTATAAATCACGTTATATACCATTCATGTATCTCACTTTTTCTTTATTTTCCCCCTTTTTTCTTTAGCATCATTCCTATCACTCTGTTCTGAGCATGCTTACTTTCAGTCACCAACCATGCTATTTTCTTGGGCAACTAAAGTCAACATTGAGAACTTACCATTCACCTAAAAATAGAACAATTAAAGAAAAACAAACGCACGTGGTCCCCCTATTTACTTACGCATCCACAATTGCCTTCTAAATAATTTGCCACTCTAATACTGTCAAGTAAATCGACGGCTATGCCTACACTTAGTTCTAATCAATTAATAGATCGTCTATACATATCAAATCTGTTAATTACTTTTTACCAGAAGGCAATCATTTTCCTGGCAACTAAAGGGCATCCATTTATCAAAATAAAACTGAAATTAAAAATAAAAATGCTCTCATCAATTAGAGGGTTGAATCAAGAAATATACCTGGGTTAAGAGAGGCATTATTACTCATGATTCCAGAGAAACCCACCTTCTTGCCCATAAGACGCGTTGATCCACGGCTCGTCTTCGATCTCTCCAAGCATGATTGAATATCATTACACCAACCACCTCCCTGATAACCAATGCCATTATAGAAATGAAAAAAGCTTGTGAATGAAAATAATGCCGATTTTTGGACCCACTAGCTAATAATGCAACGGATTCCGTTCTTTTTTCCTCTCAGAAAGAAATTCATTATTCTTTAAGTTACACATTTCTTGTGAGAGTATAATTACTCCCCTAAATGCGAAAAATAATTAATTAAGTTTTCTGGTACCGTGAAGCTATTATAGCATCATAATGATCATAAACCTCATGAGAAATATTTTAAACGTAAATATTTTAACAATTACCTGAAAGTTTAAAAAAAAACGGAAAGTAAAGTCGTGATGACATTATTTATTCTAGTCTTCTATTTTACCAGCAGCGCCTGAGCAATCAAGAAAAAGAGAACTGCAAGTTGCAAAAAGCAACGCGCACGATCCACTAGGCCGAAAAGTTATCGACGATGTCGTATTCATTTCCTAAAAACACCCAATCATCCAGCAGAAATGAAATGGAATCACCACATTTTTTAACCGCGAACTGATGACATGGCACGTGGTGATTGGAGCTTATATTGTTCTTCCTTCTGTTATTGTTTTACTTTTATCACACCACCAAAGAGGAGAATTACCTCGAACAGTAAAAGCCAGTTGTGTGCTCCAGCGCCGAATCCTCTGTCGAGATGGTACGCGGGCAAACTCCCGTCCAAGCAAACTAAAAATATGAAATATTCGAAAGAACACAAAGTAAAATCTCCATTGATGAAGAAGAAGAAGAAGCTTATAAGCAAGCTACAAATACGAAATGTTGGAACCGGAAAATATAATTCAAAAAGGAATAAAAAAAATAAAAAATAACTCGTTCAACCTGAGAAAATTAAAATTATGTATACAAATAAACGTAAATTTCAATTTACATTGAAGAAGAAGCTTACAAGCACCATAGGATGAAGCATTTCGAACCAGAGTCATGTTCACGAGGAGCTTTTCCGAGTAAACGCACACCGGCGAGTAACAAGTAAGCGAAACCAACAGAATTGCTAATGTTACGTGGAATGCTTTCTTCATTTTTTCGCTTCAATGAGGTTCGATTCCCACAGATTTCCGCTGATATATGTTGTCACGCCGCGACGCATGTAGTTAGTTCCGGTTTCTCTTATATTCCGGACACTGACGGAGGGGAAAACGAAAGTGCGAGCGCAAATCAATGAAAAACGGCGATGTTTAAAGGGAGGGGGAAAGGTGACGCGACGCCGTTTTACGCATTCGAGGGAAATTAAAAGTCAATATCTAATGGGACGGATATTTACGAAATTGCCATCGCGTTTTTCGATGGTCCGAAATGAATACGTACAGACTTTCTGGATAAATTTATAGCCGAAGCGACGGTCACTATCGGCCGAAAATAATGCAAATCGCAAAAGACTAAATTTATATCTGCATATCATTTTATTTTATATAATTATTGAAAAAATTTAAAACTACATCCTAATAGATACTGAAAATCTAGTGTTGATAAAATTAGGTTTAGTAATTAATTAGTGTTCTAAAAAATTACAAATATAAATATATTATTTTATATGGTAAAAAATAAAATGTTAAATCGTGCCTAAAAAAAAAAAAAACAAAACTCTGGAACCGCATCCAACCCATACGAAAGGCACGTGGTGGGTCGCGGATATGTCCCACTACCGTATGTTTATCATTTATTTATATCATATAATGAAATTGAGATTGATATAAATATAATTGTTATTATAGTTTTTATAAACAATAAATATTATTCTAAAAAAAATTGTAATATAAATTAAATTTTTGTTGATTTTAATGTGTACGTTGAGGATCAACTTAATAACTCGGTAAAACCCCTTTTTGGTTTTATTAATAATTAAACAATTATATACCATATTTAATATATATGGTAGACAAGTTAATTTCAAATTTTAATTGATTAATTAATTTAATATTTTATGATAAATAAATTAAATTCATAATTGTACGAGTAAATTGTGTATGGATTTAAAAATTATAATTTATCTAGTAAATAAATTATATGGGGGGGGAGGGGGGGGTTAGAAATAATAATTATTTATAATACGTTATGAATTAATCCGCTTAAACACGAATTAACACGATTTTTTTTTAACATCCTAATTAATCGCCTACGGGGGAGCATAAGGAAATAGATAATGAATATGGGTAAATAGTACGAAGTTTTAAAATATTAGGGACTGTTCTGCAAATTTTCACAATCTTGTTCCCTTTGGTTGTGCAGCTACGCGGAAAGGAGGGCTTGTTGATCAGATAGAAAGCTATTCAAGCTGACCCAACTCCTGAGTCCAAGGTTTAGTGTTCTGGAAAGGCTTCCTTTGCTATCAACCGAGAGAAGCCCTAATTTCTCTGCTTCTAATTTTTTTTTTTTTTTTTGCATCAGATCTCGTGATATAATACTCGGTCATTTATCATTGTACTTATACACGTATGGTATGTGTTGATGTTTCTTTTGTTTGCTTCCTTGCGTGCCCTAGATGTTAAGTTTTACAGCGTTTACGATTATTGACATGGATAGATGGTAAAGGAATGATATTGGGAATTTTGAATCCTAGTTATATGTCATCTATGCTTGGTTTCAGAGAAAACAGAGGAAAAAAGTTTACGAAATTTCTGCTTGTTTATTGGGGCTTGGTTTCGGATTTTGAGCGAGGATTAGATCAGTTTAGTCAAGTCAACTGGGAATAGTTGTTTACCGAGTTCAGATGATTTCATTTCTTGTGAACCAAAAGGGGGGTAGTGGCTGAGATATGGTTAAGGCTATTTTCAGATGGATTCAGGTCTAGCTTGCTTGTAAGTTTTTGTTTCTTTAGTGGCTGGTGATAAGACAAGTTAGTTTGGTGTTTTTGGAGGTAATTAACATGTGAGCCCCAAATGAAACTAAGGACATTGATTTTTGGGTTTACATTGGTTGCAGAAGTCTTTGTTGCTAAATAAATAAGAAACAGATATGGGGAATGACATTCAGTGTGCAAATGTTGAGCAGCTGATTCTGCCTTTTCAGTTCCAAATTTGCTAGGAAAGCTAATTGTAAACTAGTCTTCCTTTTGGATTTTCATTTTAAATTTAAATTTTCTTAAGCCTTTAGAAACACATGTTTATTCCATGGTGTTTTATTTTTAATTTTTCTACACTGAATGTTATCTCCACATGATTATATCTTTTTTGCTTAAGTAAATTCAGGTCCAAATATCTTATGTAGTATTGAAATTTATTCGTAAATCTTTATTTTGACTTGAATCTTTTGTAGGGTGCATGAGATCTCTGGCCACGCATTTGTTAGAGAAGTAATGCAACCTTGGTAGCAGATTGTCTAATCACTAATCTTCCTGTCTTGGAAGACTATTTGGGATATTTAATTGGAGGAACTGTGGGTAGCTGGTAATGGAACCCCTGTGGAAGCTTCTGTATTTGCTGGAACCTGCACCTGCTACCCTCATACTTACAGCTGTGGCTGTGACATTTGGATCTGCCTTTCGTGCTCTCAATTATGGGAAAGAAATGGAACGAAATCGTGACTTATCAGAAGCATCAATTACATTAGATCGGTCCCAGGCACTTATGATCCCTGTAATGAGCTCGTGCAGCTTGCTTTTGATGTTTTATCTATTCTCTTCTGTTTCTCAGCTCCTCACTGCATTTACAGCTGTTGCCTCTGTCTCATCCCTCTTCTTCTGTCTGTCTCCTTATGTTGTTTATGTGAAGTCACAACTTGGTTTGGCTGATCCATTTGTGTCACGTTGCTGTTCAAAGTCATTTACACGAATCAAGGGGTTATTATTGTTGACATGCTCTCTTATAGTTGCTGCTTGGTTGGTTTCTGGGCATTGGATATTGAACAATCTCTTGGGCATTTCCATTTGTATTGCCTTTGTCAGTCATGTGCGGCTTCCGAACATAAAAATATGTGCTATGCTCCTCGTATGCTTGTTTGTGTATGACATATTCTGGGTTTTTTTCTCGGAGAGATTTTTTGGTGCTAATGTCATGGTATCAGTGGCCACACAACAAGCATCAAATCCTGTTCACACAGTGGCTAACAGTTTGAGCCTTCCTGGACTGCAATTAATTACAAAGAAACTGGAGTTACCTGTGAAGATTGTGTTTCCCCGGAATCTGTTGGGCGGAGTTGGACCTGGTGGAAATCCTGCTGACTTCATGATGCTTGGTCTTGGTGACATGGTATAACTACCTTTTCTCTGCAATGATTCTCAGTTATAGGGAGTAGTTTTGAAATTTTTGAACGACCATGCTGGCTCTATGTTGAGGCTATCCTCTGAGTTGTGCAGTATTTTTTTCCTGTTAGGCATATAATGGCCCAAAAGGAGTAGACACTGGTCTAATTCTATTTCTTATTAGAATTAGACCAAAAAATATGCCTAACGGTATTTTGTTTCCTGTTAAGCAAATAATGAGCTGAGAGAGAATGTCTAATTTCTGATATATTCTAAACTGGAAATGCAGATCACACCTCTATGAGATATCCAATATCGGACTTTTTCTTTTCTTATCAAGACAATTTGAACTTTGCTGCTCTTTGAGTAGTTACATCTTATGGTTGCTTTAGCTACCGTCTTGAAATTGACATTTTATTTTGGTCCTGTCATTGCAGGCTATCCCTGCCATGCTTCTGGCATTGGTTCTTTGTTTTGATCATCGAAAAAGTAGAGATACAGTAAATCTTTTAGACTTGCATTCATTGAAGGGACACAAATATATATGGTATGCCCTGCCTGGATATGCCATTGGGCTGGTCATTGCTTTAGCAGCTGGTGTTCTGACGCACTCACCTCAACCAGCTCTTCTTTACCTGGTATATCTATTCTTCGTCTATTTTTTTCTACATCTTTTTTATGATTTTGTTTTCATCATATGTGGTTCATGTTTGTTTTTGCTTTGATATGCTTTAACTGTGTTGTGGCAGATTCAGTTAGTACATAAAACTGCAGGACAAAAATCATCAGGGTTATAGTTCTATTCGTCTTTTTTTTTTAAAAAAAAATAGTTCTATTGGATTTGGTATTGTTGAGCAAATTGATGGTTTAAGAATGTGATATAAGTAATTCTGATATCAGACTTCTAATAATAATAAGATAGTGAGCTCAAAGGGAATATGATTGTGGTGTCACTAGCAAATCAGCTTTTAGATTATTAAATTTGCAAAAAAGAAAAATCAGAGCTATTCAAATTTTCTTTGATTGGTGGCTGCCAATTCTTTTAAGAAAACTTTGTTTTTGGTGTTTTAATTATGGAAGTAATGATTGATAATTATCTTTTCTTTGTTGCTCAGATTGATAACATGATTTCTTTCATTTGTTGCTCAGGATTGGTAACTTGCTAACCCTTTGAGCTGGCTGATATCTATCTATTAATTTATTTAGCATCGTACCAAGTTAAGCTCAATAATTATGAGTTGATGGGAACTGATAAGATATTTTGCAAACCTTTCAAAGAAATAACATAATGATTTTAATCAAGGTGTTTTTGCTTTCCTGGTATGAATCCAATGATCTGTATATTCTAGTGTACTGTCCATAATCTCAGCCTCTCATGTCAATCCTTAGTTGCTATTTGCAACCTATAACATGGAAGTAAAGATGTCATATACAAGCTATGAGCTCTGGGAGCTGAATCCATTGTAAATATGGAGAGCTGAGACTGATGGACATAATGATGTCCTAAGGGCAAAAACCTCGGGTCACGGATTTCATGTTTTTAACCAGTCTGTCTAGGAACCTGGATATTTGACACCATTTTAGGAAACTAAATTTCGTCAAGTTAACTTTGTGCTAGATGATGATCTGTGTGCTGATCTTTTCTTTGGAATGTTCATCCAATTTGTTTAGCTGCTATGGGAATGACCGTCTGGACTCATTGTTGCTTACTAGTTCCTGTGTCAGATAAAGAGACTAACTCTGTTAACATAATTTCCTCGTTCCGTAGGTGCCTCAACATTGGGACCTGTAATCATCATATCCTGGCTAAGAAACGAGCTAACTGAATTATGGGAAGGAACCACTCCGAACATCCATGCCAAAGTCCATCAAATAGAAGTTTGATCAGTTTAGCAGATCCGAAACTGCGTTGTAGCATGCGGAAAGGTTGTAAATTGTCTTAAAGAATCTATCCTTGAAAATTCGGATAAGAAATGAACTCCAATATGTTATCTTTGTAGAATCTTACTATGAACATCAAATGTTTTCCTCAAATGCTCAGTCAGAGGAAAAGAAAATCAACGTGAAGTTTTAGTCCCTCTCCCCTCCATTTGTTTTGTTTTTCTTGCAAAACTTACCTCATTGGTGAACTGTTAATTTCAACCGTAAGGTTGAGGTATATAAATGACAAAAAAAAGAAGGGAGAAAATACAGACGTGATAGAAATTTAAATTTAAAAAATTAATTTTAAATTAATTATTACTGTAATTGTTTCTACAAGTGAAAATAAAATTATAATTGTGAATGATAATAGTTAAAATATAATAATTAAAAATAATTATGCCTAATTGTGTTAAAAAAAAGGTAGAAAATTACAGTTTATTAAAAAAATGAGAAATGTTAAAAAGAAAATTAAAGCTGTTTTGTAAGATTAAAAAAAAATGTAAAAATATAAAGTATGTGCAAAATAACATTTTTTTAAATAAAAAAATAAATATAAAGGGAAAAGCAAAGGTAATTAATTAAACAGCATCGCTGAAGAAAGACGGAAAGAGAGGATAGACAAAGCTGTCGGTCTCCATTTCTGTTTCTCTTCAACGGGAAAACAACGACAATCGACACCTGAAACCCTACCTTTGAAGTCATCGTTTTCGATTTCCATCTTCTTCTGTCCCTCTATTCGATTTTAGCTTCTTCAAATCCCAATCCCCCCTTCCCCATTCAATCGCACGTAAATTTGATTCAAAAGCCTGGGATTACTTTTTCTATGGCTTCTGCTAGCGCCACGTGGACGCCGAACTCCCTCCAGCTCCGGTTAGCACTGAATTGCGGGAACTCCAGGAAATTTAATGCGGTGCTCGCACGGGCCCGCGTGAGGAAGCTGAATCGTGAAGTTCGTGCGCTTTGTCTTGCGCAGAACGAAGAACCTCCTAGAAATGGGGATTCGTGGAACGGGTCGGACCTTGCTGCGAATGCTCTCTCTGGATGGTCTGGTCCGGATGATAGTGAACAGCCTATAGAATCGCAGAGGAAGAATTGGATTGGAGGTATCGGTGAGAGATATTCATTGAATTGTTTGGATCAAATTGCTTTGGATACAATAGGATTTTATGTTTCGGTGATATTATTAGGATTTCATGTTTGGTGATGTATCCTTAATCATAATTCTAGATAAAGCAATTGTTATCTTGAGTTTTAATATTATTATTATTATTATTATTATTATTTTCTTCTTTCTTTCTTTCTTTTATGGACTAATAACATTGTGGAAGTAGTTTGCTTTCAGGGGCTGTGGGAGCTGGAGTGGCTGGAGTTGTTCTGGTTGCTGGGCTAACTTTTGCGGCCTTGGCTATTAGCAAGCGCAATACCTCCAGTAAGTGCTTGTCAGTATATGAGGCTTTCCTTAAAAGTTGTACACCGTTCATTAAGCTCATTTTTATTTTCTTGAGTGCTTGTGTAATGAACAATGCTAATGAAGCATTTCATGTAATGTGAACTCAGAACCAGTTCAACAAATGGAGCCGTTGACAGCTGATCAAGAGGTTTCTTTGGCCTATGTTGATGACAATGAAGATAAAGTGGAGGGGGGAAATGAGAGCAACCATGTAAAGAATGAAGATGGCATTGTGGAAAGTCAGACAGGTAAAGATCAGGATTATTTATCATCTTCAGAATATAATGAAGATCCAAATGAAAATAAAATTGATAATGATAACAAAAACTCATCACTGGATTATGTAAAAGACGCATCCAACGGCAGTCATGCCATGGACAGTGTTTCCATTCAGGAAGAACATAACCCTGAAATTGATTATAAGTCAATTGCTCCTGAAACAACTCCGAGCTCAACACAATTGGCTGAAACTGAGATTCCTGTTGGTTCTTCTGTTGCACCTAGCCATAAAGATGAAGATGGCAGCATTTCTGCCAGCTTACCTGAGCCAACTTCTGAGGTCGAAGTGGGCCTAGTCAGTGTTGGACCCTCCGATTTGTCTATATCCGAAACTCTTCAAATTAGCTACCAGGAACAGTTGCCTAATTTAAATGTAAAAGAGTATTCCGAGCCTTTGTCGCATCCTTCTTTGGATGCTGAAGCATATGCACCTAGTGAGCCCATGCCTACAAGTATTTCAATTGGTTCCCAGTTGAACACAACCTCAGATTCTCACCTAGAGACCACACACAACTTGGAGACCATAGACTCAGCCCCGACTGAAGAAAATCCTGACATTAACAGAACATCACAAGTCTCAGATGGGAGAATTATTTCTTCCCTGGAAATACATAGATTAGATGAAAGTGGGGCTTCCAAAACATCTGTGTCAACATCAGCATATCCATCTGGTGACCAACAAGACATAGATGATCGTAATGCGATCAATGGAAGCAAATCATTTCTCGAGTCACTGACTCATGGGAGTTCTTTGCTACCTGCTGGCATACCTGCTCCATCTACAGTTTCTGCAGCTCTACAGGTACTCCCAGGAAAGGTCCTAGTTCCAGCAATAGTTGATCAGGTTCAGAGTCAGGCATTAGCTGCTTTGCAAGCTCTGAAGGTACTGCTCTTATGAGTGCATAGAGTAAGTTTTTTATTTCCAGGTTGCCCATCTGCGGGAATCATGAATTGGGTCATGCAGGCTTGCAGTTTGTAGTTTAAACATATTTAATCTTTTTCAGGTTATTGAAGCTGATGCTCAACCAATTGATCTATGCACGCGTCGAGAATATGCACGTTGGTTGGTCTCTGCGAGCAGTGCTCTCTCAAGGTATGTTTTTTCTTTGTTTGTAAACTGGTTGGTGTGAGAACATTGCATTTGGAGTCTAAGAGATTAGAAGTTTAGAATCCATCATAAGAATGTTTTTCAATTGCTTGTAGGAACACAGTGTCAAAAGTGTATCCTGCAATGTATATAGAGAATGTTACTGAACTTGCCTTTGATGATATCACTCCTGAAGACCCTGATTTTTCATCAATTCAAGGTGAGGACTGACTTTCTAATTTTTGGCTTATGATTTGGATTGAGTGCCTTTTATCACTGCTCATTCATTATTGAGTTCACTGTTTCAGGCTTGGCAGAAGCAGGACTTATCTCAAGCAAGCTTTCAAATCATGATTTGCTTAATGATCAACAAAGCCCGCTCTGTTTCTCTCCTGAAAGGTGCTTGTGCTAGTGTTTACTTTGTCCGATTATTATCTCCCAGAGTATGAATGATGCTTAGATGTGATGACAGAGGAAATATTGTGTTTGTTTGGGTTG